TGACATGTATAGTATTCTCAACTGGATTGGTCTGAGAAGTATTTCATGATGGGCAAAGTATTTTTACAAGCAAAATGAGAAGTAGCGATTGACTGTTTTAAAAAATAATTATAATAATAATAATAATGATTGGGGAAAACATAGAAAAGATATCGAATGTTGAAGCGGGGAGATTAATGTCTTTGTACTGACTGACTTGCATGGCATTCCCTTGTGAAAAAGCAATGTAATACACTGTAAAGTTATATGTAATCCAATGTAATATAAAGAAGATTATGATGATAATAAAAAATTTTTTAAAAAGAAATATAAATAAAATAAAATATATTAAGTTATAAGAGAGAGAGAGGTTTCTCAAAAGGAGGGTAGTTGTCTGTGGATGATGTCAGGATCTTGCTCCAAATTCTAAGATAAGAACCTCTGGTGCAATTCACCTAGAGAGGCCTGGTAAAGGCTCTTAAGAACATCTCTGCTGCTAATACCTCAAATACAACTGGATCTGCTATATAATATGGCCCAAGTGGCAAAGCAATTTACACAGCAATCTGGACCCGCTGTTCAGCTTTCTCCTGTTCTGAACGCCAGTCAAAACTAGCAGCTCTTTGGGTCGCTTGGTAGATAGGCCAGAGTAATACATCCAAATATGGAATGTGCTGTCTCTAAAATCCAAATAGGCTCACTAGGCCCATAGACACTGTCCTTCTTTCTTGTTTGTAGGAAGGGCCAGATGCAACAATATATCCTTTACCTTAGAAGAAATATCTTCACGTGCCCCATACCACTGAAACTCTAGAAATGTCACTGAAGTAGAAGGACCCTGAATTTTAGTTGAATTTATTACCCACTTCCTAATAATAGGTCCTGAAGGCATAATAAGTAAGTTACATGGAGAAATGGTCCAAATCCCATGGTGCAGAGTATGTGATACTTCATACGTACTAGGTCTAATCAGCAAGATGTCATCAATGCAATCAATGGTCCAGTGTGATATTTTGTAGGAGGGAAAGGCTACCAAGATCTCTGCAAACTAAATTATGACATTGGGATGGAGAGTTGATGTACCCCCGAGTTAGAACAGTAAAGGTATATTGCTGACCTTGCCAGCTGAAAGTAAGTTTTTTATGATGGACCTTATGGGCAGGTATGGAGAAAAAGACATTTACCTGATGAAGATCTATATACCAGGTACCAGGAGATATGCTAATTTGCTCAAGCAAGGAAAATACATCTGGTAAAGCAGCTGCAATTAGAATTACCACTTGGTTAAGCTTATAGTGATCCACTGTCATTCCTCAGGATCCATCTGTCTTCTGCACAGGACAAATAGAAAAGTTGAATGGGAGTGTGATAGAAATCACCACTTTTGCATTTTTTCAAGTTCTTGATGGTAGCAAAAATCTCTACAATTGCTCCAGGGACATGCTATTTTTTTTTTATTTATTTACTATTTTTCTAGGTAGAGGCAGCTCTTATAACTTTCATTTGGCCCTTCCCATCATAATGTCTCTCATTCCACAGATAAGGGAATCAAAATGGAGGTTTTTCCAGATGTCAAGTATTGTCTTTTCCAATTATGCATTCTAGACCTGGGGAAATGACCACAGGATGGTTTCAGGAATCCACCAGACCCACTGAATCAGACCCAAGCTAAAACTCCATTGATCACCAATTTCCATAAGCTCCTACACTAACCAGAGGGCCACAGTAACATTTTAGACCTCTTGGAACCAACATCAGTTCAGAACCAGTGTCTAGTAGTCCCCCCGAAATTCTGATTATTTCCCTTTTCTTGATGTGCAGTTACCCTAGTAAAAAGTCAAAAGTGCCTCTGGGAAGGGATAACATATATAGTTACAGTATAAATTTCCAGTAGTATATCAGGATCCTTCCTTGAGCGTACCTGGCCTCCCCTTCATTCAAGGGGTTTTGGATCTATAAATCAAATCCGAGAACTGATTGAGGGGCAGTAATTCTCTGTTTTCATCATTTGAGTTAAACTTTTGTTCACTTGACCATAAAGTTTCCTGATTATACAAATCAGGTAAGAACTGAGTATATTTCCTATCTGTTTTACTTTTTAAAACATTAGAGTTTGGGACCAGCAGGTGGAGTGGTGGTTAAGGCACTGGATTCCCAAATAGTCAACCATGGTTCGAATCCCAGATCTGGCAGCTTGGAAATCATGCTGGGTGTGTGGGTGTGAGTGTGAGTGTATGTTTTATGTGTGCATGCACAAAATTCCAAGAGAAACTTGAATTCCTGAGTTCATCCCCTTTTTTTTAATCACTTTGTCCAGCAACATTAGAAGCAACCAACCAATGACATTATATTCCTTGGTTCTCCATGAACATTCAAAGATATCATAAACAGAGTTACTAAGTTCCTTACCTCTACAAGTGGTTTAGTAAGAGTATGTAGATATTTTGACTCTCTCCACACACACACACTAAGAAAAAGCCATGTGAGGGCACAGCAAGAAGGTAACTGTAAGAGCCTGGAAGAGGGCCCTCACCAAGAATCCAACTGTGCCAGTACCTGATATTCCAATCTCCATAATGATGAGAAGTGAATGGCTATTGTTGAACCCACCCACCCTCAAAATGCAGATATTTTTCTTATCTCTATAAACAGTTCACACCATAGACTATCAGTGCCCTTTACATTTTTAGGTCTAATCAAATTAAAGAATGAATTCCAGAAATCCCCCAAAACCAATTAGAAAACTTCTTTTTTTTTGAGAGATTCTTGCTATAGGGCATGTGTGCTCGCCAGAAAGACAGAGAGAGACAGAGAGATAGAAAGCCAGAAATCACCCTCCAGGGGGGATGGCCACACCACAATCCCTTCTCCTCCATTCTCTTCTTGGGATCTTAGGCACACATGCACATTTGCCTGGCATGAGTGTAAGCCACCAGGTCTGGGACTCGAACCACAGTTGGTTGACTACATGGGAGTCCAGTGACATAACCATTGCACCAACTGCTGGTCCCAGAAAACTTATTTTTAAAGTTCTGTTCCTGTAAGACCATTCCTGGCACCAAAATCTTCATTAATCAGAGTTCCCTAGAGAAACAGAACCAGTAGGATAAGGATATAGATATATGAAGAGGATTTAGTATAAGAATTGCTTCAGGCTATTTTGGAGGATGAAAAGTCCTTCAGCAGGTTGTCTGCAGGCCAGAAACTCAAACATACCAATAGTGTGGCTCAATTCAAATCCAAAAGTCTCAGAATTAGGTCACCAATGGTATAACTGTCAGTTCATGGTTGAAGACCTGAGACCTGAGAACCTGGGCAGGGGGTGAGAGAAATGCACTGGTATGTGTGTGGGGGTGGGGTGGGGTGCCCTGATGTAAGTCCTAGAGTCCAAAGGCCAGATACTTGGAATACTGATGACCAAGGCCAGGGAAAGAAGAGTGCTCAGCTCTGAGAGAAAGAAAAAGGAAATTGCCTTTTACTACCTGTTTGTTCTATCCCAACCTCCAGTAGATTGGGTGTTGTCCACCCACCCAGTCAGTTTACCAACTCAATGACACTGTTCTCTGGAAACCCTCTCACAGACACATCCAAAAGTAATGTTTTACTAATTGTGTTGGCATTCCTTAATCCAATCAAGTTGACACTTAAAATGGTGTATCATAGAAGGTGCGATACAGGCTATAAGCAAATGAAAGATGAGGGGAATGTCAAGGGGTCTGCAAGCTTGTTAGGAAGAAAGCTAAAGATTTGCACACAGAAAACTCTTCAAGACTCTCTATGTCTAAACGACTCAGGTTTATTAAGAGCAAAAGATCATCCTGGGTCAGTTACCAGGGCATACTGCTTGGAAGAAGAGGATTTGAGCTGAGCCTCAAACATATGGATAGAATACAGAAAAGTTGGAGAAAGAAAGAATTCTTTAAACAAAAGGAATATCCAGACTCTTGTTGGAAATTGGGACTTTGGGTCCAAGGATATATTAGGCAGCAGACAAAAGAGCCAGTCCAGATGGAGAAACAGGGGACACAGTGAGGTCCCAGGAGTTATGCCATGGTAAGACCAAAAGAAACTGAGATGAAGGACATATCAAACATCTAAAATCTGTCAAACAAGAAGTGGCTACCAACTGAGTCTAAACCAGTTGGAACTAAAATGGTGCCTGGAACAACTGCTCCCTAACCTTTAGATTCATTATACTTTCATTGTACAGTATTAGCAGGCTAGAAGACAACAATATCTGCAAAGAAAGGCAGAGAAGGAGGTCATCACAGGAATTCTCTGCACTGGATGTTAGTCAGGGAAGGAGCTGAAATCTGGAGTCACTGAACCAAGAGGTCGAACACACAGATGGGAAGCTCTTGAGCAATAGGTGTAAAGTTCAACATCCTGACAAAATTCTCCAGGACAGAATGCCCTGACACAGTCAAAATAACCCAGGAAGTCTCAGAGTTAGTAAGTCTTCACGTCTTCTCAGGAGCAAATGCTATTTCAGAGTCTTAACTTTTAACCAACTACAGTATCTTTCTAGCTAGGGATTGATCCCATTCCACCTGAGAGTTTTCAGAGAGCCTTAGTATCTACCCTCTTCAGAGCTTGGCACACAAATCCCAATACAGTAGGTAAAAAATTTAATAAATTTTGACCTTGGGCAGAAAACACTTTCTGGAGGAATTTTTGAAATATACTTGAAGAGGAGGAGGCAGTATGCTTAATTTATTTATTTATTCAGCTAGTGGAGGAAGAGAGAGATCTGAAGAGATGCAGAAAGAGGCCACAATGGCAGCCAATTCCTCACCAACCCAGGCTATTGCATCTTCTCTTCATGTTAAAAGCTATGACATGGGAGAGGCCCAAATGACATGTCTGCAGGGGAGGGACTACAGTGACCAAAACTGGAGGAAAACCTGGAAAGGTCTTTCCTTCCTGGTTGAAATAGAAATATACACTAATTGGCCATAGGAAGTAAGATTATGAACAAATAAGAAAGCAGAAAGAAAAAGAAGTCAGACTATAGAAATTACCTCTAGATCCTTCCTGATTTCTTGTGGATCTCCAGCCCACTTGATACTTTTATCGAAGTCTGCCAGGCGAACAGCATTCTTAGAATCTAAGGGATAAATTGCAGAGGTGCATTGAAAATATGCATGCTCTATGATGTGAGAATCAATTGATTTAAATAAATATGTACCATGATATACAATCCATCTTCTCTGAAGAAGATAATAATACAACTTATAACAGTATTGCTATTTACTCCTCAAAACACTGTCATCTGTGCTGTTTCACTGGCTCTATTAGATAACTGCCACATTGTATATTTTCCAGGTAGGAGGTAGGAAAAGATGAGGATGATTAACCAGCTCTCCATTCATGCCATTTCTAGGGCAAACAGCACAGATTTGTAAAGGAGCTGCTGGCAGGAGTTAAGGTTGCAACCTATGGCTAAAGAACAACTAACTGGGACCAGCAGTTAGTGTAATGGCTATGTCGCTGAACTCCCATGTAGCCAACCATGGTTTGAATCCCTGCCCCGGTGGCCTAAACTCATGCTGGGCTCATGTGCGTGTGTGCCCAAGACCCCCAGAGGAGAGTGGAGGAGAAGGGATTGTGGCGTGGCCATCCCCACTGGGTGGGTGATTTCTCACTTTCTACCTCTCTTTCTGTTTTGCTTGCAAGTGCACGTGCCCTATAGCAAAGACCTCTCAAAAAAAAAAAAAAACAAAAAAAACAAAAAACAAACAAACAAACAAAAAAAAACTAACCAACAGGCTTTTGTCCAAGATCATCTTGGTATTCCATCAAATCAAGCCAACCATCCACAGCCCAGTGTCACAGATCAATGTCTGTAACGAGTCACTGCTTCTTTGTCTCCTTGTCTTTCTCTCTTGGAGGAAGTTCCTGAGTCCTCAGAGAAGGGATGGATGGGTGTAAGAGGTCAAGATGAGGCTTGAAGGAGTCCAAGGCAGACTGCCCTGAGTAACCCCATACGAGAACACAGCTAGTGTAACTGTGTGCTTCTAGAACCCCTTTGATTCTGACCTTAAAAATCAAAGCTGTGTGAAAACCCAGAGTCTAACAAAATCTTGTGCATTTTGTTAGGATCCTCATCCTTTCCTACCTCCTGGCCTAGAAACTATAAAATGTGAGGCCTACTCCTGGCAGTTACCTAACAGATCCAATCAAACAGCACACATGAGAGCATTTTGAGGAGTAAATAGCAATACTGTTTTATTATTACCTTCTTCAGATAAGATGGAGTGTATATCTTGCTACATAATTATTTAAATTATTCAGGATGTTTTACTGAGGAGTAAGACAAGGGTGGAAAAGGAGAACACAAACCAGCCATGGTGTTGCAGTAGAAAAGCTTCACATTGCTGAGGCCACATGAAGGTCCCAGGTTCACATTCCTAGGTTTCCCTGGACCCACCAGGCACATGTGCACCTGTGATCCTCGCTGACTGACGGGGTGGATAACAGGAAGACCCTGTTAGAGATGTCTCCCTCTCTATACTCTTTCTCATGAAATAAATAAAGAACAGCTATGTGATACAGTGGTAATGCACTGCTCAAGAGATGCCAGATCCCCCTGGATGATGGTTCAAATCTCCTGCTCAATCAGCCTGAAACATTCTGGGCACACACATGAGTGCCCAGGATCTGAAGGGCTGGAGGACTGCAGGAAGGGGATCACAGCAGAACCAGACCCTGGGGAGGTCACTCCTCTCTCTGTCACTCTCATGGGAGTACAGACAAGCTCTATCATGAAAAAAGAGAAAGAAAGGAATAAGGAAAGAAGAGAGAAAGAAAAAATAAATAGAAAGGAAGGAGGAAAGAATAAGAAGAAAAAGAAAATATAATCCAAAGTTTAGACCAGGGACTTGGGGCAAGGAGATAATTTGTAAAATTAATTGATTAATTGCACACACACACACAACTATAAATTAATTGCAATTTTAGAAATGCTATCAAAAGGTGAATAATGCTCTGAAAGTATATTTCAGGAAAACTACATGGCTAATGAGTGTGAGGCAGGTAAGTAAGGGAGTCTCCCTTAAGTAAGACACAATTAAATTGAAAAGGTAAATAGAATTTGGGTAGGCAAATGGAAGAGAGGGAAGACAGCATTCCAGATAAAAATTCTTGAGGCCAAAAAGAACCTGGTAAACTCTAATGTATCAAAAAGAAGGTCCAAGGGACCAGCAGTTAGCGTAATGGCTATGTCACTGGACTCCCATGTAGTCGACCATGGTTTGAGTCCCAGACCCTTTGGCTTAAACTCATGCCAGGCGTGTGTGCTTAAGTCCCCAAGATCCCGAGAGGAGAATGGAGGAGAAGGGATTGCGGCGTGGCTATCCCGCTGGGGGAGGGATTTCTCACTTTCTGTCTCTCTGCCTCTGTCTGTCTGTCTGATGAGCGCACACACCCTATAGCAAAAACCTCTCAAAAAAAAAAAAAAAAGAAGAAGAAGGTCCAAGTGCCTAGAGAGTAGGAATGACGTCAGAAAGCAGACGGCAGTGAGTCTGAAGAGGCAGGTAGGATGCAGACCAGAAATCAGAGATGGTTTCCCATTGTTTGAGCCAATCAGTTCCTTAATTGCTGAAGCCACTTTGAGTTTTCTGCTACTTGAATTTGAAAGTGCCTAAATGGAATACTTCATTTTTCTTCTAACATTTGATGTTTTTATAGACCCTAACATTTTTCTATTATATTCAACAGACATTGTTAAAGTGGTTAAAAAAAAAAAAAGCTTTTTTAAATAGGTTTAATTCTGTTAATCACACACGATTGACAATTAAGATAAAATATGCCCTCCACCCTCTTGGCAATGAGTTGAAACCTCAGGCTTCCTTTCTTTCATTCTCCTCTTCAACACCACCCCATCCCTCACTCCCACTAGTGATATTATCTAGGATTCTTTTTTTTTTAATTCTTATTTTTAAAAAGCAACCTATGTTTAGGTAACTCCAAAAAATATTAATTTCTTAGATCCCCTAAGAACCTTGGTTTGGCCTCTCTTTTCTTGGGTGCAATAGGCCTTGGGGAAAAATAATAATAATTTCTTTGTTCAACCTTGCTTTTTATAAGTCACTGATTTTTCCCAAACTCTTTCTCTGACTTTTCTTATGCACATTTTCCAACTTCCTGTTGTTACTGTTATTGGCTGCAGCATGTGTACACTCACCAAAGAGAGAGACAGTCAGTAAGAGAAGGAGAGGGAGAAACCTCCCCACTTCCCACCAATGAGCTATGGTCATGCCACAATTCCTTATCTGTTTCCCTGTCCTATTGAGATTTTGGGCACACACATACATCTGGCATGTTTTTCAAACTACCAGGTCCAGGACTTGAACTGCATAATTGGCCATGTAGAATCTCTCTCTCTTTTTTTTTTTACTATTTACTTTAATTTTATTCATTGTTATTATTTCATTTTACTTTTTTTAAAGTTGACCATAGAGAGAAGGAAAAATGAGAAAGCAAACCACCAGGTCCAGGACTCAAACCATGGTCAGCCATGTGGGAGTCCAGCCATCTCAACCATCATGCCACCTACCAGCCCCAGGATCCAACTCTCTTAACCTCTAAGCCATGGGACCAGCCCTCTGACAGTTCTTTCATATAATGTCACTGGGTGGAAAGTTTTCTGAACCCTTCAACACTTAAAATATGTATTAATTTTGAATTACATGTGAACAATAATTTAGATGTTAACTAAATTCTTTCTCTTCAGTTCTTCTTCCTTCCAGGATGCTGATGAAAGAAGTCTTTGCCAATTTCATTCTGGTTTCTATGTAGGTCATTTCTTTTTTGTTTTGTTTTGTTCTTTTGGAAGATTTTGCTAGAGGGCACATGTGCTCACCAGGGAGAGACAGAGGCAGAGAAAGTGAGAGGGAAAGTGAGAAATCACCTCCCCCTCCCAGGAGGGATGGCCACACCACATCCCTTCTCCTCCACTCTTCCTGGGATCTTGGGCACGCACACACTCCCAGTGTGATTTTCAAGCCACTGGGTCCAAGACTTGAACTGTGGTTGGCCACGTAGGACTCCTGTAATGTAACCGTTACACCGTCTGCTGGCCCCTATGTAGGTAATTTCTTTCCCCTTCAGTAGCTTTGGAGTTTTTCTTTTTCCTTAGTGTTTTGAAGTTTCTTTATGTTGTGATGTAGTGTTTTGTTTCCCCTTATTTATTCTTGTAGGTTCTTGTGAGTCTTTTAAATGTGAGAACTATCAAGAACTAACATCTGCGTTTAGTTCTGGGCAATTCTTAGCTAGTTTTTTCACACATTACTTCATCCTCATTCTCTCCTTCTGGAATGCCTATGAATCTAGATTTCACAACTGTAAATTATTTTTTAAAACACTTTTCATCCCCATATGTTTTTCTGTTTGTTGCAGGTTAACTTCTAGTTCACTGATTTAATCTTCAATCCATTCTTGAGGTTTGGATTCTTTTGCTTTGTTTTCTTTTTAAATATACATTATGTTCTAAAGCAGTTTGAGGTTCATAGCAAAATTAGGTGGAAGGTACAGAGACTTCCAAATATACTTCCACCCTCTCATGCGTAACTTCCTCCATTATTAATTCCCCAGCACAGTAGAACACTTGTTTTGATTGAAGAATCTACACTGATACATCACTATCACCCAAATACATCACTTTCACCCAAAGTCCAAACTGTACATTAGGGCTCACTCTTGGTGTTTCAAGAAAAGAGGAACAGCTTCTATGGATCTGAGCAAACCTATACAGCAATGAAATCTACCTACTATCATGGTATCATACAGAAAAGTTACATTGTCTTTAAAAAAATCTTCCCTCTTCTCCCTGTTCATCACTCCTCTCTCTTAACTGCTAGAAACCACTGGCATTTTTGCTGTCTCCATAGTCTGGTCTTTTTTATAAAGTCACAAGATTGGAATCAGTAGGTTGCCTTTTCAGATGGCTTCTTTCACTTAGTAATATGCCTTTAAGATTCCTCGATGAATTTCAAGGCTTCTTAGGTCATTTTCTTTTAGCACTAAAGAATCCATTGTCTGGATGTACAGTTTATTTGTGCTTTCACCAACTGAAGGATATCTTGGTTGCTTCCAGGTTTTGGCAATTATAAATAAAGTCTCTATAAATATCGATGTGCAAGTGTTTGTATGAATGCAAATTTTCAGCTCCTTTGGGTAGACGCCAAGAAGCACAACTGCTGGATTGTATCATATAGGATGTTTGCTTTTGTCAAAACTGCCAAATTGTCTTCCAAAGTAGTTGTAACCATTCTGCATTTCCACTAGCAGTGAATTAGAGTACCTGCTACTCCACATTCTCACCCGCCTTTGGTGGTTTCAGTGTTCTGAATTTCAGGGTGCACAGTATTATCTCATTGTTGTTTTTACAATTTCCCGAAGACAAAAGATGTGGAGGATATTTTCATATGCTTATTTGTCATCTTTATATTTTACTTAGTGAGGTGTCTGTTTAGGTCTTTGACCTATTGTATTTTTTTAAGTAGTTTATTTATTTAGAGAGAGGGAGAGGGAGAGAGAGACAAGGCACCCTCAACGAGTCTCATACCTTGATTTTCCTTCCAGTCTTCCCACACAGCGGTGACCATGGGCATGTGCATGTGCACAGAGGTCTAGGAAGTGAACTCTGATTTTTCATATGGGTCCAGCATGATGAAGTGGAATGCCCCTACCATGGCATCATAGCTGGCCCTTTGGCTTATTTTTTTCAATTAGATTATTTGTGTCTTTATTGTTGAGTTTTTAAGTTCTTCGTATATTTCAGATAATAATCCTTTTCAGTCTTTTGCAAATATTTATCCCAGTCTGTGACTTGCCTGGTTATTCTTGACAATTTCTTTCACAGAGCATAAGTTTTAATTTCAGTGAAGTTCAACTTATCAACTATTTCTTTCATAGATCATGTCATTGGATCTTCATCTAAAAAGTCATCACCAAACCTAAGATCATCTAGATTTTTCTTATGCTATCTACTATAAGGTATATAGTTTTGCATTTTATATTTGTGATCCATATTGAGTTCATTTTTCTGAAGGGTCTGTGTCTAGATACCATTCTTTTTTTGCACGTGGATATACAGTTGTAATACATTTGTTGAAAAGTATTGTATTGCTTTTGTACTTTATCAAAGCTCAGTTGACTAAATTTATGTAGGTCTATTCTATTCCATTGATCTGTTTATTTTTTTCCCCATCACTGCACTGTCTTGATTACTGTAGCTTTGTATATGTCCAAGTTGGGTAGTGTCAGTCCTACAACTTTGTTCCTCTTCAATATTGACTTGGCTATTCTGGGCCTCTTGCCTTTAGCATAAGCTTTAAAATCAGTTTATCAATATCAAAAAAATAATTTTCTGAGATTTTGGGGTTAGTGTTGAATTACTCTTGAGTGGCTCTCCTTTGCATGGATCCTACTTTTATGAGTAATATTCATCTGTGACTTTTTACGTTGCCCCTGTATCCTTTTTCAAACCCATCTTATTCATGTTTAGTCTATGATTCTTCCAAGATTTTTGTCCTATAAAAGTTATTTTATGGAGAGTGTGAGGGAGGAAAGCTGGGGGGGGGGGGGGAGCAAAACCCTTAACAGACACAAAAAATAGAAAATTATCCGTCGATGATGTCAATGGTAATATCTTTGGGCCAAAATAAAGTATATTCATGCTGGGAAAATTTGTCTTGCACGCTATAAAGGTATAGTTATTGGGACCAGCAGTTAGTGTAATGGCTATGTAGCTGGACTCCCATGTAGTTGACCACGGTTCAAGTCCCGGACCCAGTGGCTTAAACTCATGCCAGGTGCATGTGCGTGCGTACCCAAGATCCCGAGAGGAGAATGGAGGAGAAGGGATTGCAGCATGGCCATCCCCCGGGGGGATGATTTCTCACTTTCTGTCTCCCTATCGCTCTCTGTCTTTCTGGCGAGCGCATGCACCCTAAAGCAAAAACCTCTCCAAAAAAAAAAAAAAAGATGTAGTTATTAAATGTAAAAAAAAAAAAAATAAGAAGGAGAAAATAAAACAAAGGAAGAAAAAAGTGACATTGTACCCCATAAATATGCACAATTATTATGTTTTAATTAAAAACAAAGATTAAGAAAAAAGTTAAAATTCTTAAAAATTTGATGTGCATTTTACTGCAATTAAAAGTAAAACTTAAAATTTATCATAAAAGTTGTATGAAAGGGGGCTGTCAGGTGGCATGGTGACTGGAGCACTGGACTCTCACATGGCTGACCACAGTTCAAGTCCCAGAACTGGCAGCTTGCTCTCAAACTATCTCTATCTCTCTGTGCCTCTCTCTGATCAGATTAAAGAATAACAATAACAGCAAGTAAAATAATTCTTTTTAAAAAGTTATATACAAGGAAATAGTGTAAAAACAGGAAAATAAAATAGTAATAAAATTGGTTTTCTTTTTATCTTGGGTATGAATTTACTTAAAACTTTATTTTCCTATATTTTAAAGGTTTAATGCAATGAAAAGAGTCTGCTATTCACTGCATTAAGAGTCAATAATAGAGTCTACTAGAGTGTGTGTTAGGATCAACATATTGAGACAGATGTATAAGGAGTTCTCCATTCAAGCTTTGAGATGGAAGTTACGGTACTAAGTAACTCCAAAGCAGCAGCACTGTGTGGCCAGGAAGTGGCATAGTGGTTAAAATGATGTACCTCTCACATGGCCGACCACAGTCCGAGTCCCAGACTAATGCTTTGAAAACCACGCCTGAGTGTGTGTGTGTGTGTGTGTGTGTCCGCCCAAAATTCCCAGAGAAAAACAGAGTATGGCAAAACACTAAAATGTAAAAAAAAAAAAAAGGCAGTGTGCTAGCCATTTTTCTTTAGTTCATGTTATATGACCCTTTCAAATCAAGATTAACTGTTATACCCGGAAGGGTCTCACCTTTGGGTGAGGTTGAAACTTCAGTTCCACCTTACAGAGCTGCATGACTGCTGGCCCTTGGCCATCTCCCCAGCAAAGCTGCTGTGACACCAGGACTGTCACCTGTACAATCCCCAAACTAAAGGGCAGGTCTCAGTTGCATTCTTCTGTGTAACTACCTCTCCCTTCCAAACCTTAAATACTGCTCTCCGCCTCTCAACACCTGAACCCTCTTTTTGCCTTGTTCCTTTAAATCTCGGCGCTGTCTGTAGCTTGGGGTGTTACTAATCTATAGGTGTTACCTCCATGTCAAATTCTAGACAAGTGCCTGCCCTTTGCTGAGCATCTACAATGTCCCTGGTGACTTGTCTACTTATCGCATTGCACTTACATCTCACAACAAACTTACAAAGGTAGCATTCCAGTCTGAAAGGTGGAAACCAAGACTCACATAATCAAGTGACTTGGTTGAAATTACAAAACTACTGACCAGTAGTTAGCATAATAGCTATGTCACTGGACTCCCATATTGTCGACCGTGGTTTGAGTCCCAGACCCGGTGGCTTAAACTCATGCTGGGTGCGTGTGCATGCGTACACAAGATCCCAAGAGGAGAATGGAGGAGAAGGGATTGTGGCATGGCCATCCCCCCCTGGGGGGTGATTTCTCGCTTTCTGTCTCTCTGTGACTCTCTGTCTTTCTGGCAAATGCATGTGCCCTATAGCAAAAACCTCTCTCAAAAAAAAAATTACAAAACTATAAAATGGCAGGACTAGGCTTTAAGCTACCTTAAATGTGGCTGAAGCCTCTTTCTACTGCACCACATTGCCTCTGGGACTTGACATCCAGCTCTGCTTACTTATGTGTTTAATTTTAATGTTTTCCTTGTTTTTGCCTTGGGCCAGTGGGTGCTGATTTGATAAGCCTTGGAGTATGCATCTTCAGTGTGTCGCATCTTATCCTGACATCCTCAATTTTGACCTTGGTTTTGCCGTGAAGTTTCACAGCAACTACTGCCTTGTCTGAAAGAGCTCACCTTCAGGATTCACTGACTTGCACACTAAACTAGGAATTCAAATTCCTAGAGCTGGTTCCATCCAAGACATACCTTTCTGATTTTACTTTGCCAAGGGCAATATAAGGTAAGCCTGGCATTCTGTTGGCATCAACCAACTTCTATGTGGGATAAGAAAACCCAGTTACAATGAGTAGCGCTGTCATTATGAATGTGTTATAGGAATTCTAGAACTGAATCACCCACAGTTACTCTAGGCCTTTTCTCTCTGCAACGAAAACCTTTTTCTTTTGTAAACAAAGATCCCACTATTTCTAAGGAAGGACTGGATAGTGCGGACTCACATATTAAGATGTTCTGTGGCTGCAGATCCTGGTGAGTGTACCCACATGACAGGTGTAGTTCTTGAACAGCCCTAAATATAGATAATAGGATATCTCGGGTAAACTTATCTTCTCCACATTCCACAGCTTCCCCTCCGTGCATATCCAAATGCTCTCTTAGCGTCTGCTCACAGAGGGTGAGGCACACATAGACACAGCCCTTGTGGCTCTCCGTCCCATAGAGTGTCACCAAGTGGCTGTTCTCTCGGCTGCTTTGCAGGCAGGAGATCTCCTGCTGTGCACACACACTGTTTTCACGAAATCGCTTCACAGCCACCTCTTTCTCCTCATAGAACCCTAAGTAGATGCCGCCTTCAGAAGTGTCAGCAATTTTATATTCTTCATTAATAAAGATCCTGAGTTTGCCGATCACAGGGCAGTGTGCTTTATGGAGTTTTTTCAGAGCTGCCCCCCAACATGAACTCTGAGGTGTCCAGTCTTCTGCAATAGGGTTAGAATGTCCTTTGGCTCCGTGCGTGAGAAGAATGTCCTCAAGGCAACTGTTGTATTTCCGCCTTGCGATCATCACAAGGTCCCCACAATCCACGCTGGCCCCGCTCTCGCACAGCAACTGGACAATGTCCTTCAGTTCATATTCAACAGCAATCCGCAGAGCTGTTTTCCCCTCGCTGTCTTTGTCATTAATCTCTATGCCCTCTTGTTCCAGAAGCATCTGCACCAAACCCAAGTGCTTCTTTTCCACTGCTAGGATCAGGGACGTCTTCCCTCTTTCTCCCCTCCCACTGACATCAGCCCCGTGGTCCAGCAGCAGGTGAATAACATTCTCCACATCCCTGTCATTACAGCTCTGCAGAGCATGGATCAAGGCATTCTGGCCCATGTTGTCACGAGCATTGACATCTGCCCCCATCTCGTCAAGAAGAATCTTTAAGACAACTATGTGGCCTTTCTCAGCAGCATCCATGAGAGCTGTAGCACCTCCCTTCCCGAGCTTCTCTTGGTCCATTTTTGGTTTTCGACCCAAATTCACCTTTGCTCCTCTCTCATGAAGGAATCTTAAGGCGTCAACCTTATTGTACGCAGCAGCTTCCATGAAAGCTGTGAAGCCATTAAAATCACACTCATTGACATCTGCTCCTTTCGAAAGGAAGAGTCTGAGCAGTTGCACATTTCCCACAATCCCTGCAATGATGAAGGGGGTGGCCCCGTTCTTCTTCCTCAGATGAGGGTCAGCACCGTGATCCAGAAGCAGCTCCACAATGTCCTCCCTGTTTTGCTGGACAGCATTGTGGAGGGGGGTCCAGCCCCCTTCCTCTTCCTGGAAGTTGACATCAGTCCCTCTTTCCAGCAATTGCTGGACCAGCTTAACATCTTTCCTCTGAACAGCTTCGATCAACAAATGCTTGTCTTTCTCTGTACCCTCCTTACTGCTGAAGAATGTGGGCGCCATCTGAGAGTTCCTCTGGCCGTTGGGCTCCATGACAGGAAATGCCACTGCCTACCACTTTTTTTTTTTTTTTTTTTTTTTTGCCTTTTCCTGAGAAAATAAAACCTTATCTCCTTTGCACTTGAGATAAGAGAATTGGAGCATAAATTGGAATTATCCGGCTACGAACCAGCAGTAGTAGGAGGAATAATGTTCTCCGCCTTCTGATTTCACACCTAGAGGCAAAGAGAGGTACTCTATAATTTTATAATAGGGAGAAAATATATGAACCAGAGAACTTAACTTTAAATCAGTTTTTTCTAAATGCATCTTATTTCTTTTTATTTATTTATTTTGGAGAGGTTTTTTGCCACAGGGTGCATGCGCTTGCCAGACAGACAGAGAGACAGAAAGTGAGAAATCACCCCCAAAGGGGGATGGCCATGCCACAATCCCTTCTCCTCCATTCTCCTCTCAGGATCTTGTGCACATGCACATGCGCCCGGTGTGAGTTTCAAGCCACCAGGTCTGGGAAACAAACCGTGGTCAACTACATGGGAATCCAGCGACATAGTCATTATGCTAACTGCTGGTCCCAGTGCATCTTATTTCTTATTATAGAACTTTAGAATTATAAAATAATATGAATATATGCAAATTAAGAATTAAAAAATTAGGCCAGTCAGTGGCATGGTGATTAAGGTGGCTGGATCCCACCCAGCCGATTGTGCAGTTCGAGTCCTAGACTTGGTGACTTGAAAAACATGCCAGGCACATGTCATGCATACTCAAAATACTGAAAGAAGAAATGAGGGTTCTCCCTCATGGCATGACCAACTCCCATGGAGGGGAGTGCTTTCTCAATTTCCCTATTTCTCATTGTCTCTCTCCAGTGAGCGCATGTGCCAAAACAGATTTTTTAAAAAATAAAACTATTGGTATCAGCAAATGACATAATGGTTATTTCACTGGACTCCCACGTAGCTGACTGTAGTTCGAATCCCAGATCCAGCAGCTTAAGACTCACATCGGGCATGTGTACATGCATGCTAAAATCTGAAGAGAAGAATAGAGGAGAAGGGATTGTGGCATAGCTGTCCTCCCTGGGAGGTGATTTCTTGTTTTCTGTCTCTCTCTGTCTTTCTGGCAAGCTCACATGCTCCATAGCAAAAATCTTTCTCCAAAAAACAAACAAACAAAAACTATTAGTTAGAAACAGCTACTGTTAATATTATTATTTTTTAATTTACTATAGGGTATGTGTGCTCACTGGAGAGAGACAGAGAAAGAGAGATAAAAATAGAAAGAGTGAGAAAGCACCTCCCAAGGGGGATGTTTATGCCACAGTCCTTTCTCCTTCATTCTCCTTTAAGAGTTTAGGGCATGCACACACACTCCTGGCTGGTTTGGTTTTTTGTTTTGTTTTGGTTTGGTTTTTTTGAAGAGTTTTTTGTTTTTTGTGTTTTTGTTTTTGTGGGTTTTTTTTTTTTTTGCTATAGGAAACATGTGCTCTTCAGACAGACAGCGAGAGACAGAGAGACAGAAAGCGAGAAATCACCGCCCAGAGGGGATGGCCACGCCACAATCCCTTCTCCTCCGTTCTCCTCTCGGGAGAACACACATGCGCCCGGCATGAGTTTTAAGTCACAGGGTCTGAGACTCGAACCGCAGTTGACTACACGGGAGTCCAGCAACATAGCCATTACACTAAATGTTGGTCCCACTCCTGGCTGTTTTTCAAGCCACCAGATCCAGGATCAGAACTGTGCAGTTAGCCATGTGGGATCCAGCCACCTTAACCATCATGCTGCTGGCTGGCCCTGAAATATATTTCTATAGATGGTTTTAAATAGTTGGGATCTCACTATGTAACTTTATATCCTGATTTCTTTTATTTAATGTCTCACTGTAAGTAACTTCATAAGTTATTACAAAGTCTTTTAAAACAGTTTTAATGGTTACATAATATCCCATCATGCAGTATTTCATTTCTTTCTTACTGAATGTTTAAAAAATATGTTTTAAATAACATTTTTTTAAATTAAATTTCTAAAAATAATTCTAAATACATTGCAGCAAATTCACTTTAACTTTTTTTAATATTTCACATGACAAATTTCCAATAATTGATTGACTTGTCAAAAGACAGAACTGTGTTTAGTCAGATCCTATATCAACAAACTGTATCAATCTATATTAACAACTTTCTTTTAACGTCCTATAAATATATAAATACATTCTTACCAGAAATAATTGGAATCTTTAAAAAATTTACATTTAATAGGAAAAAATGTCTTCCATGTTTTTGCCCATTTGTATTTCTTATATAATGAGGAAAGTTGGTCACTGCGTTTGCTGACTCTGGGAATCTCCCTTTTCTACAACCATGTGCTTCTTTTTTTTTCTTTTTTTGGAGAGGTTTTCCCTATAGGGCGCGTGCACTCGCCAGAGAGACAGAGAGAGACATAGAGACAGAAAGCGAGAAATCACCCCCCAGAGGAGATGGTCATGACGCAATCCCTTTTCCTCCATTCTCCTCTCGGGATCTTGGGCATGCACACACATGCACCCGGCGTGACTTTGAAGTCACCGTGTCCGGGACACGAACCACGGTCGACTATGTGGGAGTCCAGCGACATAGCCATTACGCTAACTGCTGGTTCCCCAACCAGGTGCTTCTTTTGAAAGTATTAGTGAACACCATGTATACAGTCAAATGAGTTGAAATCAGTCCTTAGACAGATGCCATGATTTCCCACGTTCCTTGAGTCCCTATTCACGAGAGCCAAGATACAGAACCAACCAAAGTGTCCATCAACAGAACAACAGATTTTTAAAATGTAATATGTACACATCAAAATACTGTTCTCCCTTTAAAAAATAAAACATCTGTCCTCAAGGCTACATGGATGAGCCTGAGGACGTAATGTTAAGTGAAATAAACTAGGCAATACTAAATATTAACGAATTCAATATTACATATAACAATAGACACACACACTGCATGCCCTCACTTATATGTGGAATTTAAAATGCTGAACTTGGGGCCGGCAGGTGGTGTGGTGATTACGGTGTTGGACTCCTACATGGCCCACAGTGGTTCAAGCCCTGGACCAGGTGACTCACCTTTCTCACTTTCCCTTTCTTTGTCTCTCTCTAGTCAAATTTTAAAATGAATGATAATAACAAATAAAATTAAATTAATAATTCTTTTTTAAAAAATGCTGAACTTGGGCTGGCTCTGTGGTGCAGTGGTCACGTGCCACTCAAGAGAAGCCCGATCTCACATGGCAACTGCAGTTCAGATCCCCAACCCAGTCAGCCTGAAATGCACCAAGAACAGGATTGGGATCCGTCAGGCTGGAGGACTGGAGAAAGGGGAGCCCAGTATGAGCAGACTCTGTAAGGGGTGCTCATCTCTGTCTTTCTCTCTTCTCTCTCACATATGCTTTCACTCTCGTGTGCTTATGCTTCCTCTATCACAAACACAGAAAAAAAATACATATATATAAAAAGTTGAACTCAAAAAAGTAGAGGGTAGAGAATAGAATGGCTGTTGGGGGCAGGGAGGCTGTCTACAGGGGAAGGGGAGATTTGGTCAATGGGTAAAAGGTTTCAATCGAATAGGAATAACAAATTCTGTTGTCTTATTGCAAAGCCAGGGGACTATAGTTAATAATAATTGGGTATTTAAAAACCACTAAAAAGAAGGATTGTAAATGCTCTCACCACAAAGAAATGATAAATATTTGCAGTGATGGGTATGCAAATTAGCCTGATTTGATCATTCGAATACATGTATACACATCCTGAAATATTACATTATCCATAAATACAATTTAGATACATACGATTGTTACCTGTCCATTAAAACAAAACTTTAAAAAAATTATAAGTGGATGGGACCAGCAGATGGTATAATGGTTATGTCGCTGGTCTCCCACGTAGTTGACTACAGTTCAAGTCCCAGACCCAGCAGCTTAAAACACATTGGGCTCATGTGCATGTGTCCCAAAAATCCCAAGAGGAGAATAGAGGAGAAGTGATTGCAGCCTGGCCAACCATCCTGAGTGGTGATTTCTCGCTTTCTGCCATCTCTCCAGGGAGCACATGCGCCCTATAGCAAAAATTTTTTTTAAAAAATTGTAAGTGGAAATTCCTTGGACTCTGATCTCAGCAAAATCTATATTTGGCCCCTCACTGTATAATCGTAAGCTATGACTTACTGATGTATAACCTTAGATTAGATTGTTGAACCTCAGTGCTCTGCTTCCTCATTTGGGTTCAATAATTAATACAGTCACGTGTGTAAAATATATTAAAGCACATGTGTGGCAAATATTAGGCTCTATGGACATCATTATATTCCTTTATGAAAAAACTTTAATGAATTCAATTCTCCCACCCCCCTCCCATGCTCAAATAGATCCTACGTGTACAGGGAACCTGGGGGTGTCAATTTAATCCAACTGCCCTCCATCAGATCTGAGAAGTATAGCTCCAGTCCAGTCGTAAGAGAGCCCAGACTGTTACCTGAACATTTAATTCTGCTACAGCACTCGCTGAACAGCCCTTTTTCAGCACTTCACCACCATGAGATTTTGAAACCCTCAGAGGTTAACTGATTAGACTCTCAGAGAACTCATTAGTTATGCAGGAATCACCAGGTCATGAAATCTTTTGACCAAATTATGTAAGCAGTTCCTGTGACAACCAGATGTGAGGCAAGCTGAGATAAATGAAGGGGCAGAGACGGAAAGAAAAGCAAAGGATACCTTGAGTAAAACTTCAAGGCGGAAAACAGACCCGACCCCCAAAGCGAAAACACCCCCGCCCCCCCCCCCCCCACCCGCGCGCAGGCCCTGCAATGAAGCTCTGCTTTCAGTTTCACTTTCTCCAGGTGAACAGGATTGCCTAAGCCGGCGATTCCAATCAGTGATATGTGGATTGTGGCAGGACCTTGGAGAAAAGGGCGCTAGATCCAAGGGCCCCAGGGCAGGCCTTGGGCTCCTTGCACTCCCTCCATCCCCCAAGTTTCCCGTTCCTGTCCTCTCCAGCCAGCTCCCAAAGCCCGGCAATTCTTGGAAAACCCACTGCTCAAATTTTTCCAGCTCTTCTCCTTCGGTCTGTCTTACCTTCTAAACACAGGCTCCTTACTCCAGTGCCAGTTCCAGCAGGAAAACCTGTTACCTTGGCTGTGCCTTCGAGCCAGGAGGGCGGAGCAAAGACGGGGGTGAGAAAGGCAAGGAAGTGGAGGAAACCGCAGGACACGCCCATGCTCGGGCGTGCCTTGAGAAGTGCTTGGACACCCCCTGGTGGAACGTGGTGGCTTTTCTCTGCCTGCTGACTGGTGGATGGCCAGGTTTGTTATGCACACCTGCCAGCCTCTCAGCTTTCCAGACTGCAGCTTCCAGCGCCATCCACCCCTCTTGTTCCCGTGTTATAAATCTCCTCTCTTCCTTGGGAAGAGGAATGGAAAACCAACGCTTAGTCAGTGACTGCTGTGTATCAGACACTGTGCTTACCTGTGGCACAGTTCCAGTTAACCCCTAACAATCTTGTGAAATATGAAACTGGAGGCTTGCAGAAGTTGAATAAGTTCAAAGTCCAAGCTCTCTTACTCATGTGAGCTCACTCAACTGGACTCATTGTCCCGACCCAGCGTGGCTTTCCTCAGAGGGGCACTGGACTGGCAGTCTTGGCTATTCATTGGCACGACTTCAGACAAGTGGTTTAACCATGTTGAGCCTCATGTAACTCAGCTTTCAAGCTTCCTTTATGCTCCAAAAGTTCCATTCCTGGCCATTTTTGTGGCACGGAGCTGCATACTGTGCACTGAACGTTGCCGTGGGAAATATCCCCATCCCTGTAAAATATCCAGTCTTGCTGGGGAGTAGTAGCAGAAAGAGCCTGGGCTCTGACCTCAGCAAAATCTAAGTTTGAGCCCTGAGATAGTGATGAAGAGCAGTGTGTGGTCCCATGATGGTCACCAATGTCATATCATCCAGACTGTGTGCCTCCACCATCTCTTACACACCAGTGCCTTTAAGCTTCTCTAATCCCAGCCTCTCTGCAAGCTTCAGAAACAAGTCTTGAGCATAGTCCAAAAAGAAGCCCTCCTCTTTCACTAATATTGTCCCATCTCCCACTTTTTCCATCACTGTGAAGGCTGCCGCTATCTGGAGGCCTCCGTCATCTTCATCCCAGAACTACATCCCTTCCTTTTAGCTACAAAGGATGACTAATCTCAGCCCCTGCTGTTGCTTATTGGAAGGCACTGAGGACTTGATTCTTAGCCTTTCATCTACAAGGGATCTGCAAAAACTATGAAGACTAGGTGATTTCAGTGCTGAATTCTACAAAACCTTAAATAAGAGTTAATACTAATGTCTTCAAACTATTTCCAAAAATATCGAAGTAGAAGGAATTCCCCCTACACTTATTCTATGCAGCCAGCATTTCCCTGATACCAAAACCAAACATACACACACACACACTACATACCAATAGCCCTAATTAATATAGATGCAAACATTTTTTACAAAATGCTAGCAAATTGACTCCAACAGCACATCAAAGGAATATAAAGATGCTTCAATATATGCAAATTCATAAATGTTATACACTATATAAATTAAATGAAGGACCAAAACCAAATGATTATCTTAATAGATGCAGGAAAAAGCATTTGACAAATCCAACATCCCTTTATGATAAAAACACTCAACAAATTGATATATAAGGAATGTACTCAACACAATAAAGGTCATACATGACAAACCCACAGCTAGTATCACTCTGAATGGAGAAAACCAGAAAGCCTTACTACTAAGAACTGAAACGAGACAAGGATGTCCACTTTCATTACTTTTCTTCAACATAGTACTGAAAATCCTAACTAGAGCAAGAAGGCAGGAGAAAAAAATAAAGGACATCCAAATTCATAAGGAGGAGTTTAAATTATTCCCGTTTTCTATTTATCTTATATACAGAAAACCCTAAAGATAAAAAAAAAACTCTAATAACTTATTAGCAAATTAAGTTGCAAGATACAAAATCAACATATCAAGATCAATGGTATTTTTATACATCAATAATGAAATAGCTAAAAAATAAATCATAATAGTAATCCCATTTACAATAGCTACAAAGAAAAGAAAATATCTAGAGATTCATTTAATCAAAAAGTGAAAGAGCTCTATAATCAAAATTTTAAACCACTGATGAAAAACATTGAAGACACCAAAAAAATTGGAAAGAAATCCCCTGTTCATGAATTGGAAGAATCAATGTTGTCAAAATGTGTATACTACCAAAAGCAATCTACAGTTTCAGTGCAATACCTAACAAAATATCAATGACATTTTTCTCTCTTTCTTTTTTAGAGAGATTTTTGTCATAGGGCATGTGCATTTGCCAGAGAGACAGAGATAGAAAGACAGAAAGTGAGAAATCACACACACACACAAGCACCCCAGACGGGATGCCATGCCACAATCCCTTCTCCTCCATTCTTATCTTGGGATTTTGAGCACACGCACACATGTGCTCAGTGTGAATTTTAAGCTGCCTGGTCCAGGACTCAAACCACGGTCAACTACATGAGAATCCAGCAACGTAACCATTATGCCATATTCTGGTCCCCCAATGAAAAAAAGCAGTAATAAAATGTATATCAAATTACAGAAGATCCTGAATAGTCAAAACAGTTCTGAGTAAAAAAAATAGAAGTAGATGTATCATACCACCAGATTTCAAAATACACTGAGGACAAAGTAACAAAAAACATGTGGCAAAAAGAAAAAGAAAAAAGACACATAGACCAATGAAACACAACAGAGAATACAGAAATAAATTACAAATACATCCAGGTGATTTTCGACAAAGGTGCCAAAACATCCATTGAAGGTAAGGGAGTGTCTCAATAAATGGTCCTGGGAAAACTGGACTTGCATATGCAGAATGAAATGAGACCAGTATCTCTCACCATATGCAGAAGTCTCCTCTAACTGGATTGAAGACTCGAACACAAAACCTGAAACTGTGGAACTATCGTACTATAAGAAAACAGAGGAAACACTTCAAGAGATTGCCATGGCCAAAGAGTTCATGAATAAAATCTCAAAAGCACAGGCAAGAAAGACAAAAACAGACAAATGGGATTATATCAAATTCACTTCTGCCTAATCAAGAAAACCAACGAAGTGAAGAGAAGTCACAACTGGAAGAAAATATTCGCACACGATTTATCTGACAAGGCGTAATAACCAGAATATACAAGGAACTCTAACACTTCAACAGCAAAAACCCAAATAACCCAGTTTTAAAATGGGCAAAGGACTCAAATAAACAGTTTTCAAAAGAAGACATACGAATGTCCAATAAACATATGAAAAAATGCTCGGCATTGCTAATTATTAGGGAAATGCAAATCAAGACCACAATGAGGTATCATCTCACCCAGTTAGAATGACTATTATCAAAAAAAGAAAAGCTAACAAATGCTGGCAAGGATGCAGAGGGAAGGCTGCTTTTTTACACTGTTGGTGGAAATTTAAATTAGTATAGCCTTCGTGGAAAACATTATAGAGGTTCCTCAAAAAAACTAAAATGAGAGCTTCCATGCAATCAGCAATCTCACTAATAGGTATGTCTCCAAAAGATATCTGCACCCGAACATTTATTGCAGCACAATTCACAATAGCCAAGATATAGAGTTGACCAATGTGTCCATCAATAGGTAAGTGAATGAAGAAAATTCAGTACATGCATGTGTATTCTATATAATTATATACGATATATAATAGATTTATATATTATGGTTATATGTTATATAATAAGCATATTTTATATATGTGTATATATAAGCATATTTTATATATGTGTGTATATATAAGCATATTTTATATGTGTGTGTGTATATATATATGATACACATATACATACACATGCACACATGCATACAATGGAATAGGATCTTAAATTAAGACTTGGGACTAGCAGATGACATAATGGCTACGTCACTAGACCCAGTGACTTAAACTCATGCAGGGTGCGAGATCCCAAGATCCTGAGAGGAGAATGAAAAAGAAGGGATTGCGGTGTGGCCATCCTCCCTGAGGGGTGATTTCTTGCTTTCTGTCTTTCTGTCTCTCTCTGTCTTTTTGGCAAGTACACGCACCTATAGCAAAAACCTCTCCAAAAACTAACTAAATAAATAAAGACTTGAGGAAGACACAGAAACAAGCTATTCAAATGTGTGGGCAGGAGCACAGGACCAGAAGGAACAGCAGGTGCAAAGGCCATGAGGTAGGGGCATGCCTTGTGTGGTCAAGAAGCAGCAAGGAGTCTAGTGAGGCTGGAGCAGAATGAACGAGGAGGGAGGCTCAGGCCTTAGGGCCTATTGTGAGGACTTTGGCTTCCACGCTGAGGAGGGTGGCAACCACTGGTGAATTGGAGCAGAGAAGTAATATTATATTTTCTGAAAGGGATTAAAAGCAAAGTTAGAAGTCGGAAACTCAGTTGGGCTATTGCAATGATCCACTTGAGAGCAGATGGTGGCCCAGACCAGGGTGGTAGCATAGAGGTAGCACTGGATGTTAGTTTATCCTAAACAAAATGTTTGACAGAGACTCCTGGAGAATTCTGAGCTTTCTACGTGCTGACAAATGTTGCAGCTCAGTGAGCCGGGACACACCTGTGAAACAAAACTGCAGAGTGTTATAATAGGAGGGAACTGGGGGCTCGTTATAGACTTGTTATAGGGTTGGACTTTGTGTTAGATGATTTGAGGGAGGGTTCAGGAAGAGTCCCCACTGGGTGCTGTCAGGAAGCAGGACTTTGGTGATCGGTGCTTTGATTATTGTTATTTAATCTAAGACTCAGAAGGAATAATGTAGGGCTGGCGCTGTCATTAGGAAAGAAGCAGCATTGCTCATGTTAGCCGGAGAGGGGCTTTCGTCATTGTGGGGGGCTGCAGGGTCTTGTCTTTATCCGGAGTTCGGTCCTCATTAAGAAGTGGCCATATTTTCATCTGGTCTTGCCATGGTCCTGGGATGACCTTGCCTAATGGTTGTTGACATTCTGCAGACTTGCTCGTGTTCAGCAGCCTGGCTGCTAACTGCCAGCTGCCAGAGCCACTCCCCCAACTGTTATGTGCTTTCTCTTCCTCGCACACTTAGATTTGAGGCACAGTTCCAAAGCAGACATTGGCTTTATATGCTGAGGAATAAGCTCCACTGGAAAACTCCTGACTGGTCTGAACCAGTATAATTTTAGATGTTAAATGTTTAAATGTTGATACTCCCTTCCTGGAGTTTTAGATGATCCTAAACCATGGCCACCCCATGGCCTGGTGGTAAAGGGTGTAGGATCCCACATGGACAATTGCTCAGTTTGAATTCTGGACATGGTGGCCTGAAAAACATGCTGGCTGTGTGTGTGTGCATGAGTGCCCCAAATCCTGACAGGATGGAGAAATGGTGAAAGGATTGGGGTGTGACTACATCCCAGTGTGGAGAGATGCTTGCCTTCCTCCTTTTCTGCCTTTGACCAGAAAGTCCCTGGGCTTAGTCCATTAGTTTGCTATAACAGAATACCTGAGATGGGGTGATTCATTATTTGTTATTGTCATTAAAGATCGGATTATTCGGCACGCTATTCTGGTGACTGGGAAATCCAAGAGCATGGGGCCAACATCTGGCCAGCTCTCGACTTGACGTCACAGCACAGCCTAGAGAAGCAGAAAGGTCAGTGGACTTGTGAATGGACACCGGTTTAATCTATTCTTGGGGAACTGTCCCCATGTCCCAAACACTTCCTGGTAGGCCCAACACTGCTGCATTGGGTGTCAAGTTATAGCATGAGTTTGGTCGAGACACAGCACTCAAACTACAACAAATCCTAAGATTGCAGGAATCGACTCTGATCTTGGGAATAAACTGCATTTTACTTACCAAAAGCTTTCTTCTCAGATTTTGGTGATAAGACACTGAGGTTAGAGTTAATCAAATATAATATTGATGTTCTTATATCAGTAATGTGAAAAGGGCTTGGAATGACTTGTTACACAGCAATAGCTAACTAATAGAACTACTTTTAGCTCTTTGAATTTTACCAACTTATTAAACTTCCTGGGACTTGGTATCTATAGTCGTAAAATATAGATGATTATAATAGTAGCTATTTCAAAAGACTATTTTAAGGATCATAGAAACATACATACATATGTGTATATATATTATATATATATATGAAATTTTTTTTCCTATAGGGCACATGTGCTCACCAGAGAGACAGAAAGTGAGAAATCACACACAAACACACACACACACACACACACACACACACACACCAGGGGCTGGCCACTCCACAATCACTTCTCCATTTTCCTCTCGGGATTTTGGGCACATACCACATGTGCCTGGCATGAGTTAACAAGCCGTCGGGTCTGGGACTCAAACTGGAGTCCAGCAATGTAACCATTATGCCATCTGCTGGTCTCAATGATTACAGAAATTAATATATGTGAGCTACTTAGAACACTACGCATCACATACAAGCAGCTAAATATTTTTTGAACATTTACTGTCAAGCACTGCGATAAATATTTTTCATGAATGTTGTCATCACAAAAGCCTATGAAAACAAAGGTTCTTCAAAAAGTTCATGGAAAAAATGGAATTAAAGTACAAGTTCATTTTGGTGCAACAAACGTTTTAAAATCCGTGCACAATTTTTTCATAGTATGCATTGTTCATATACTTTTCAAAAGACTCTTCATACTATTATTGCTATTCACATTTTGCAGGAAAATGTGAAGCTCTGAGCAATTGAATAATATGCTAAAGATTACTCAGTTAATAAATATGAGGTGTGGGACTGCATTCAGTCACCTAACTTCCAAGCCTGCTATCTAAATCACTATACTGCACTGTCTGTGACACAGCCCCTTAGGACTGGTGAGATGGAATTAGCAAAGACAACTATACTCTCCAGCACAGAGCCAACCCTTAAATGAAAACGTATTACAAATAAAAGATTAGTCCAGGGCCAGCAGGTTGCATGCTGGTTAAGGCACTGGACTCTCACATGGCCAACTGCAGTTCAAGTCCCAGATCTGGCAGCTTGAAAAGTCTCACTGGGCACATGTGTGTGTTGCCCAAAATCCCCAGAAGAAATGGAGGAGGAGGGATTGTGACGTGACCATCCCTTCCATGGGTGATTTCTCATTTCCCCTCTCTCTGTCTCTCTTTGGTGAATGCACGCATCCTAAGGTAAAAAGAAAAAATCCACATTGATTACTTCTCTCAAAGTTTAAATTAAATCATTACCCAGGTTAGTGCTCAAAACTTGAAAATCACCAACATGTAAGTCAAGAGATATCTTTTTCGTTTTTTTGTATAGGCTGTGTGCACTTACCAAAGAGAGACAGAGCAAGGCAGAGAGAGAGAGAAAGTAAGAAATCACCCCGGGGGAGACAGCCATGCCACAATCCCTTCTCCTCCAGTTTTCTCTCTGGAATTTGGCCACTCCCTGTGTGCTGCCAGGTCTGGGACTAGGACCACACAGCCACCATGAGGGATCCAGCACCTCGACCCTCATGATGCCTGCTGGCCCCAAGAGATTCTCTTCTAAATGAGGGAGATTCAAACTCCATTATGTAGCTCTAGCTGCTGTATATTTCGCACTCTTAGGATGATCTCTCAGTTACTTAAAACCCAAATCTTTTTTTTTCTTTACTAAAAAAGCAATTTGAATAACTGGACCAATTTAAAGAATTCAGAGACAATTGATGACCTAGAAATTAGCACTTAATAGACCCTGATACCTTTTCCTCTTTACCTGAGAGCTTCAATTAAAGGTAATTTTATCCCCATGGACTAAAGGCATCTTGGTTTTACCCTACTCACTAGGCTGTTTTTGCAGCTGCATTTAACTACAGTAAAACAAACTATAACCGTTGGATATAATTCCAAAGGATTAGAAGCCAAACTGTAATAAAAATGATGGATGTCAAACAATACAAGAAACAAAGCTTGGCATGGCCACAAGGGAGCAGCAGAGGGTGAGAGATGAGCCAGGCTCCGCAGTCGTAGGCAAGTCAGGCACCTGCTTGAAAACACAAATTGATCTGGGTTTGTAGGACTCCAGTGTTCCCAGAGCACCCTAGCTTACTTAACACCTTCACCCTGCCATTTCTTTATATGAAATTCTGGAATGCTAGAGCTTCAGACAAAATTCAGTATTGAAACAAGTGTACTAGAAAGAAAAATGATTTGGAAACCTAGGTTAGAATCTTGCTTCCACCACTTGTTTCCCCCCCCCCCAAAAAAAAAGCAATAAAACTTTTTCTTTTCTTTTCTTTTTCTTTTGTTTTGTTTTTTTGTTTGTTTGTTTGTTTGTTTTTGAGAGATTTTTGCTATAGGGCACATGTGCTCACCAAAGAAACAGAGACAGAAAGCAAGAAATCACACACACACACACACACACACACACACACACTGGGGTTGGCCACACCACAATTCCTTCTCCATTCTCAGGGACTCACTGTAGTCGACTACATGGGAGTCCAGCGACGTAACCATTACACCATCTGCTGGTGCCATTAGAAGGGTTTTAACGCCGTCACTAAGTGCTTGGATCTGTGCTTGGTGAAGGAACACCTGTGCAGTGTGAACAATGAGTTGGATAGGGAGAGGCGGAGGCAGGGAGGCCAGACAGAACACTTATGGCAGCCAGGTCAGGGAGGATGAAAGACTGCCAAGGAAGCCACAGTGAGGCTGAGGAGACCCGGATCTGATGAGGGTTCGATGTGATGGGGAAGAGAGACGGTGAAGCCCGCTGCAGTGGCCAGCACCTCTGAGCACCAGGGGTAGGGACACAGAAGGCAGAGGACATCTGAGGGACACAGTCATGACCTTGGTCTTGACGTGTTCCATACACAGAGGCTGCGGAACATCTAGGGAGAGAAATCTGATAGGGGATTGGAAAATGTAACCCCTCTTTTCTCCTGCTGCATATAAAATTAATCCTAAACGCAAGGACCGTTTGCCACTGTATTTGCTGGACGCTGGGGGTAGAAAACTGGAGGAAAGGATATGCCTAACTCCAGGAGTGTGCATCCCAGCAAGGGGAGGCAGGGAATGGCCGCCATGTTTTTCCTTGGGCGGGCTTCAGCAGCAGCGAACCACGAAGGAGAGGCCCGGGCAGTCAGTTCCAAAGGGTGGAACACGAAATTGCCAAATACTAGTACAGATCAAAAATGGGCAAAAATGAAAATGCTATAAAAGTCACCTCCTAACTAATAATGTCTGGTTATCTGACCCAGGGATACCGAACCTTGCACCATGACAGGCAGAGTAGAATGGCTCGTGCCAAGTGGCAGTCGGGTGGGTATGAGCTCTGAAATGACAGCAGACTGAGCCTGTGCAGTCCACGTGACACCGCCCACCACACATTGGGTGGCCATCAGCTAAACCAGTCATTGCAGCCATGTCCTACGGACATGGAGGACAGACCCTAGGTCCTCCTCTCTGATCCTGCCGGGTGCCAGGCAAGCATCGGCCTTCCACCCTCGCCTCTGCCTCTCCGGTGGGAGCTCGCCCGCCCGTCCTGTGGAATTCCCAAAGCCCAGCTCCTCCGGAGAGATGGCCAGGCCACACTTCCCTCCCCCTTTCCCCTGACGGCTGAACCCTGGAAGACAGGATATCATACTCGGGTTTTGTTTTTATTTAACAAGAATATAACATGCTTTCACAGAAAACCAGGAGTTGCATACATCATTCATATCTAGGAAACCAGCTCCACTTATCAACAATAAATAAATATTTAAACAGTGAGGAGTCCCTGACAGGCTCTAAGAGGTTCCCAGCACATTCAGAGGTAGAGTCTGGGGGAGAGAGGGAGACAGTCAGGCTGCAACCCCTGCCGAGGCTCTCCAGTAGAGGCAAAGTGAAATTACAATAATAAATAACAGCAACGCCAACAACAATTACAAAAATAACATGCTGTGACAATCAGCACAAACCAGTATGCTACACTTAAATAAGTTTCTCCTGGAGGGGCTCAGGGTGCAGAGCATAGTGTGATCATCTGGGGGGGCACCAGGGGCCGCTGGCTCCTGCACCCCCGGGGGCTGCACAGTGAGTCCCACTGTGGCACATTTGTTCAGTAAGGCCCTGCGGTGACAGGCAGGGGAGGACCCCCCCAATCCTGACCTTCCAAGCAGCCTGTTCCCAGTTATACTCCCAGTTTCCACATCCTGTCCAGGGGCCATCGTCGTCCCTGTCCCATTTCTCCCAACACCCTCGTGGTGCATCTCGTGTTCACAGGAAAGAAACACGAGGCTCCCTGTCCACCCTAAGGCATCTCATTGTCCCTGTTCTCAGACGCACAAAAAATTATTGGCTTGATCTCAGGACCTTGGAGAACTGTGAAGACATTGGGTCTTATACCCTTTCCTCCCACCCCTGCTGCTGGGCATGAGAGCTGAGTCAGCCACTCCCCGAGGTCCCCCCCCCACCATGGGGAGCAGGGAAGACACATCCCAGCCAGGGCCTCTGGGGAGCTCTGCTCACAGGTGGACTACACTGTGAACACAGGTCACTAAGAGAACCGAAACTGACTTCCCAGGTGACACTCTGAGACTCTCGGCTGGAACCGAAAGGCCTCCAAGGCCAGTTTTTGTCTCATTTGGGACAAGAGTCACACCAGCTTACTGGCCCTGACAAGACTTCGAGGCTGGACACACGGGAGTGTTAAAAAGCACAAGCTAAGGGAACCTGAGGCAGCCCAGGGGCAGGTGAGGTGGGCACCCCCTTCTGTGCTCACACTGTCTGGGAATTCTGGGAATTGGGAACGTGGGCTGTGGAGAGAGCCTCTCATCCTCAGGTTGCCCTTTATCCACACATTTCCCTGACCTTCCTGGACTCGTTCCTGCCCCAGGGAGGCCCAGAGCCCACGCTAACTCCTGCACCACCTCCCTTTCCCAAAGAGCCCCGCACACTCTGATCGTGAGTCCTCGTCCACCCACAGGGCCCGGAGTGAGGACCCTTCAATGCATGGAATCAAGTCCCTCTGCATCTGGAGAAGGTGCTGCTTCCCAAAGGCCACCAGAATGCCATGCTCTTCACTGTCCTCTTGCACGTCCTTGCAGAACCTGCCTCCACGCAGGGGTGCCGCCTCAGGGATGGGGGACTCGACCTCTTCCCGCAGGCTTCCTCACTGCCAAGAGGTTCAGGTGTGGAAGGGCTCAGCCACGCTGCAGCTGGACGGGGAGGCCGAGGTAGCCACAGCTTGGGTGGCTAAGTCCTGGTAGGCAGGCGATTTGAGGAAGCGAGGATAGGAGTCCTTCTCCATAAGGGTGCGTGTCTTCCCCTGAGCCACATCGAAGCACGTGGCCGTGGCGGCCTGCAGGTTCGTCCTGGTCAGCTCCCGGGTCTCATGGTCTATGTTCACCTGTGGGAAGCAGGGAGGCACAGGGATGAGAGGGGAAGAGGGTGGGCAGGGCCAGGGCCAAGGGCTGAGGAGGCTGGCCAGTGGGTGGGGCAGTGGACAAAGCACTGCTTTCTGTACCAGGAACCTGGGGTCTACTGAGTCAATCATTAACTGGGTTTTCAGCTCTGAACCTGTTTCTGTGTCTGACCCACGTCCCTCCTCTAATCTGTCAGAACTTGGATGAGGTACACTAAGAAAGTGTACAAGGGCCAGCCCCATAGTGCAGTAGCAGTTAAGCACAGAGGAAGCCAGATCACACATAGTGGACCAGGGTTCAAGTCCCAGTCCTGGCAGCTTGAAAAATTTGCTAGGCATGTGTGTGCCCAGGATCAGGATGAAGAATTAAAGGAAAGAGAACTGTGGTATGACCAAGTCCCATGGAGGGTTCTTTCTCCCTCTCTCGTGTGCATGTACACGTGCACATCATCAAGCATTAAAAAAAACACACATACAAATTCAACCTGTTCTGAACCCCACTTCTGTCACAAACCTGACTGAGGCACCCTCACCTCTCACCTGGGTCAGTGTCAGGACCTCCTACCTGGCCCTCTTCTCTACCCCTGGTTCCCATGGTCTGCTCCCCACCCAGCAGCTGGAATGAGCCTTTGAAACCCCAAGTCAATGTGGTGGCACCTCTGTTGTCTCCCATGTCCCCAAAGAAAAAGCCGAAGTACTTGTGGGGCCCACATCTGGCCACCTGTCCCCTGCCTGACCACACTCCTCCCGGGCCCCCCGTTGTCTGTGACTGTGGCAGGCTCTCCAGTCTGTGACTTGCTGCTTCCTACCCCCTGAGTTCTGCCTGTCTCTGCTCTCATGTCACCTTATCAACCAGCCCACCCCTGACTTCCCTTTACAAAATGGGAAGACCTCGCCTCCTCTCCCTCCATCCCTCTTGCACTCCCTGTCTCTCATTTCCTGTTTTATCATATCAGAGCGTATATATCTCGTTACCCATATATACAATGGGTCCTCAAAAGGTCCATGGAAAATATGAACCATGAAAAATGATGCACGAATTTCCAAATTCTTTCACACTCAAATAAATTCACACTTTAATGCTATTTCCCATGAACTTTTTGAAGTCCCCTCATATTGGTTTAATTGGCAATTAGCATTTTCTCCCATAGTAATAATCCAAGTGCCAGTACGGTAGGGACTTTGTTTTATCCCCAGTGGCTGTAACACTGCCTTGCATGGAACTGGTGCTCAGTACGTCTTTGAGAAATAATGGGAAATGAATAAAAATTAAAAACAAAAGGAAGGGTCCTCTTTTTACCACAACCTCACCAGCACTTGTCATTCTTTTTTCACCTTAGCCATTCTGACTGTATGCCTGCCTTGAAAGACCATATTGTGCCCCATAAATATGTACAATGATTAAATGTAAATGAGAAATCATAAAACTAAAAAAAAAAAAAAAAAAAAAAAAAATATTAAAAGTAAAAGAAAAAAAAAAAAAACAAAAAAAAAAAAAAAAAAAAAAAAAAACCAGATTCAAAAGCAAGGCATTACTCAAAGCTGCCACCAGGTGGCCACATGCGCTTCATCAAATGCAGCTACAGAGGCGGCCAGAAAGGAAGTTGAGGCAGGTCAGCCAGGGGACCAGGCAAGGTTGCACAGGTCCCTGTGTGATCTGTGTCACCCCAGTGGGTAAGTGTGTTGAGCTAAGAAGGGATTGGTTTACAGAGGTGGATATGGACCAAAGTCAAAAGCCTCTCCTGCCGCAGTGTGAGTCTGAGGGTAACGGCACCCACGGGTTGCCCAGAGCCTGGCTCTTCCTCATCTCCTGCCACAGAAGGCCACTCCGTACTCACCCCTCTGACACTTAAGGCCACTCTACCTTTTTTTTCCCCCTTAATTTTAAGTTTTTGTCATAGGGTGCATGCACTCACCAGAAAGAGAAAGAGGGAAAATGAGAAAACACCCTTGGTGGGATGGCCATGCCACAGTCCCTTCTCCATTCTCCTCTCTGGATTTTGGGCATGCACATATGACTGGCATGATTTTCAAGCTGCCAGGTCTGGGACTCAAACCATGGGAATCCTGTGCCTTAACCACCACACCATGTGCTGGCCCTGGCCCTAAGACCACTCTACTTTTAAACCCAATCCCTCACCCGCTGATCCCCCAGCTTCCCTGATTCTGTGGGAAAGGAACAGGTGGGGTCTGGAGGATTCACAGAGCATATGGAGAGTCTGACCTCTTTAGGGGCTTCGCTGATAATGAACTCCTCAAAGATCCGCTGAGCCCTGGAAGCCAGCTTGGCAGCTGACCGGATCTTCTTGAACTCCTCGCAAGCTAGCCAGAACTCCAGGTTCTCCTCACTGAACTCTGTCTTCAGGAAGGCATGGAAGGCAGCCACTCCATCTGGGATTCAGGGGAGAGAGGAGGAGACAGGTCAGACCACGGGACATCCGGGAATAAAAGAAGACAAGACAGCAACAATTACAGTTAATGGCTCTATTTTTAGGATGTAATTTTCTTGAACAAGACCTGCCTTTGTACTTTGAACAGAGGCTGGCGAGCTAGGTCATTATTATTACTACTCCTATTATTTCGCCCACGTGTCCAGCATCCCTCGGACCAGCTCCGAAGCACATGCATGCACACATGCCATGCACAGACACAACACACAACAGGGTCCTACTCACTTTTACTGCTCAGCAGCAAGTCGAACGATTCTCTCCACCCGAGCACATCTTCTGAGAAGTTTCTACTAAAAAGAAAATAAATAAAGTAAGCCAAACTTTTAAAAGTAAAAAAAAGAACAGACCAAACCATAGCACAAATCCTAGCCAGAACCCTGGTGCATAATTCACACAAAGGCTTTTTGGTGAAGGTCAAAGTTGACTCTTTCAGCTCTTGAGTGGAATTGGGTAAGGAGCAATTTTCTAATGTTTTCTAGAGGACAATTCAGCAACCAGAAACAGAACCCAGAGACCCTGTCATCCACAGTATCTCTAAGGCTGTCACTTTCTGCTCTGTCCAAGGCTGCTTTCATCCCTCTGACTTTCCGAGCTTTGTTTTGTATGCCTCTGCAAGGAACTACAAGGCTCATAAATAGAGGTCACGTCCATCTGTAACCCCAGAGCCCCACGCAGCAGCTGGCACGGCCGACATGCCGTGTGACAGGGCTTCTAGGAGAGGTGCATGCTAATGAAGTAGAGTCCTAGACAAAAGCTTGTGGTACTCTTGGGCTCTCCTACCCCTCATAGGTGTGCAATGATCTCTCCAGGTGGGAGAGTCTGATAACTAGACATCAATGCCCTGGGTCCTTGTTACGGACTTAGAACCCCTGAGCCCCCCAACCCCTCACCCATGAGCCAAGAAGCCATGGTAGACCAGTAAGAAGTCCCACTAAAACCTCCAGCCGGGGGTTGCTGAGGCACACCCTAGCATGTCCTCTTCTCGCCTGACTTTTCCCGCTCATGGCTTCCTTCCTAAATCTGGCTCCCTCCTGTTAGGCGCCCTGGACTGGTCAGCAAGACTTACCCTTCTTTGCTGTGTTTACTGCCCCGCTCGAACTTGCCAACGCTCGCAGGATCGGAGCCCAGTTCTGATTTGTGAAGAAAGATTCCCAGCCGAGTCTTGAACTCTTTGGCTCTGAAAGACAAATCGGGACCATGAAAAGAGTCTGCATTTGCTCAGCCAGTGTGGAGAGGTGAATGTGGTCCCAGAAGAGCTCCAGTTGGTGCCACCCAAATTTAAGCCTTGAGAGTTCCTAGGAACCGTTAGGTGTCCCCAGGGCCCAAACTGTACCTTTCTCATTAGCATCATCAACCCCCAAGCAACGAATGCACCTTCAGAGTTGTGCTTTGGTAGATCTTACACTTTCTGGATTTACAGCACTGCATAGATGGGTTTTTTCCTACTCACTTTGTAGGCACCCTTGAAGTGGGTCAGGACACTCAGCCTGCCTGCATCTTTTCTTCCCAGCCACCTGCTCCCCCGTAAGGATTGGAAGCTACTGAATACCTCTGGGAAGTGGGTACATCCCTCATCTTTGGGACTCCCGAAACCTCTCCCTGCCTCCCTAGGATATTAGAGGCCATGCCCGTGCCCCTGGGCTATGGAATGAACTAAGTGCCTCAAAACCTGAAGCAGAACTCCATTCAGCTCTGCCTGGAGAGGCCACGTGATTTTCCTGCAGCTGGGACAGAGGATGGGGAACGGCAGCTGCCAGGGGCCCTCTGCTTCCCTTCGCCTTTCCTTCTCCCTGGCATCTCATCGCGTGGCACAAGGCCGGCCTCAAGTCACGAACATCCGTCCCGCTGCCCCTCCAGGTCCCGGAGCCCGCTGCTCCACTTCCTAAGACTTGGTGGAACTTGGACTTCTGGGTGGCTGGACATGCTCCTCTTACCTCTCCAGGCAGGCAGTGGGGAAGGCGGTCAGCGTGCGGCACATGGCTGCAGGCGCAGGGCAGCACGTAGTGGGGAGTATGGTGGCGGACTCGGGGGTCTCGGTGAGAGCAATAGGCAGAGGAGCGACCGCTGCAGGAACTGAACTGCAAGGATGGAGTTTTCAGCTTGCACTCCAGAGCCCGCGCCGCCACCACTTTTATCCCCTCGGAGGGGGTGGGGCGGGGCCGGTGCTCTGACCAATCGGGAGGCCGGGCTGGGCGCTGTGAACGAGGAGGCGGGGTCGGGAGCCCTTCGGGGCAGGACCAGCCTGTAGCTCAAGGGGCCCTGCGGCGGCGCGCACGTGGCTGCCCACTGCTCCCGGAGGACGCCCGGGTGGGGAGAGAGAGGCAGCGAGAAATGACAGAGACGAGACGCGCACACACAGTTTAGCAGGAAAAAGTCCCCGCCGACCTCTAGTAAACGCAGGAAGCCAACATAGCGGTAACCCGCGGTTTGCGTGGGAGTGGCGCCGAGTGGAGGAGGCGCGCACCCACCATGTCTAAAGCAGGAAACTTAGTTCGTCGGGTGAGGGTGCAACCTGGCCAAACAGGCGTCATGATTTTACTGATAAGTACCAGTTTCTGTGCCCGTACCCCGATGGCTATACGGCTACATGAACTCATCGTAATCTTCATTTTATAGATGAAGAAATGGAGGATCAGAAAAATTAAAAACGACCCACGATCAGAGCTGGAAATAGCAAACATGGGGAAGGGGGGATGAATTTATTGAGCACCTACTTGGTGCCAGGCACTTTTACTAAACCTCAGAGAGGTTAAAATAACTTGCTCCTCATTATGCAGTTAGTAAACTTGAGGCCAGAACTCAAACATGTATTTAACCCTGCTTTTCCCCTGCTCCTAGCCCCTGCTCCCCCAAAGAAAGTTAGAACGCACAGCCTCTAACTGCTGACCGGTTCTGGATCTAAGCGTTTGCTAGCTCAGCGCTGGCATCTGGCATCTCCCAGACAGAGGTAGTGCCATTCCCCTCTCCTCACCTTCCTGAAGGCCTTCCGCCTTCGCTCATAGCACCTCAGTTTCTTTCCCGGTGCTATTCAGTGACTGCTTGTGAGTTACAAAGTCTAGAGACAGATGTTTAGATTTCAAATCATGACTCTGCCATGTACTCTGATCAGGGAGACCTTGGGCAAACTTCTTAACCTTCCCGTGCCTTGAACTCTTGGTCTCTACAATGAGAACAATGATATCCTTATTTCATGAGGTTCTCGGGAGGACTAAGTGAGTTCATTCTTAGTATGAGTTTCCCAGGAGACAGACTCCTAGTCAGAGACATGCAGGCAGGTGATTCGGGGGAAAGAGGGAAACCCAGAGGGAGTGGGAGCAGGTCTGGGCACAGGGAGGAGCTGGACGTCAGAGACCACCTGTGGTCTGAGCGATGCCCTGCAGCTCAGCTGGTCCTCTGGAACTATTAGCCTTAGGAGCAAGGGGGCGAGCCTTGGACCCCGGCAGTGACCATTCACTCACTGGATGCGCTGCCCCCCAGAGCCTAAAGTTAAGCAACTCCTTCAGCCCAGAGCACCCCCTGGGGAGAGCCTGCAGCAGGAGCATGGAGCAGGATGGGTGACAGCTAAGGAGCCGAAGAGGGGACCAGGGTGACCCGACATTCAAGGTGCTCAGAACCCTGCCGAACACAGAGCAGCACGTGACCCACGGTAGCTTCCTGTTTACTTGAAGGAGGTATTAGAGATTGCTGTAATAGACAATAAGGAAAAAATAGGGAGCTTTTTGTGCCTCTTAGAATATTGATTTTTGTTTCATAAGGAGCATGCAAGAGCTGCTTTTCCTCAGCAAGTCCTGCTCTGTGTTTCTGGAAGTAAAAGTCCAGAAGAGAGAAATAAAGGGAAGGGAAGAGGCCCCTATCTGAGAGAGCTCAGTGAGGAGGGTGGCAAAAGGGATAAGGAAGGGAAGGGGAGGACCACAGCGGGGGAAGCAGAGGAAGGAGCCTGTGAGACAGTGGTTGAGACACCCTGGGACAACAGAGGCCAAGGTCGGGACACTGTGCAAGGTCATTGGTCCAAGCAGAACCTGTGTTAAGTCCACACTGGTGGAAGGTGGCCCAGTTAGTCAAAGCATAATGCGCTCCGGAGGGCCAGCCCCGTAACCCTCCCGAGCCTTCCCGGCTGGTTGGCTGGCCGCTCTGCACCCTGCAGAACCATCTCCGAGGCCAGCATCCTGCCCTTGACCCCTCTTTGCCAACCTAAGCTCTTGTTCTTCCTCACAAGCCCAGGGCTAGGTCAGTGTGGATGGGGGAGATGGGCCTGTTTGGGAGTGGGGCAGTGTGTACAACGAGATGTGGAAGATGCCTCCTAAACACGTGTGTTTGTCCACGGAGTCCTCTAGCCACACAGTGAAGCCACCTGCAGCCTGTCAGTGGGACCTTCTGCTGGAGGAATTGGTCAGCGAGGTGAAGAGGGCTGTTGTTTTACCGTGTGCCCAGGGCACTTTCACCATGCAGCTGCCAGGTGGGAACGTGGATGTGTCTGGGAGACTGCTCTTCTCCATGTGACAAAACACGTTTATGGATGGAGCAAACCCACAGTCTCTCTCAGCAGTAACATGTTCGAATCAGCCCAGTCATGGCCACAGGACAACAGAAGAGCCGTTCAGCAGAGAGTCTCCTCAGACCTTCCTATCCTTTCTGCATCTCTGTGAATCAGCAGAGGAGGCGTTTCATTTCCATTTTGCAGACAACAAAACAGCAGTCCCCCAGGCACCCTTCATTAAGTGCAATGGGCCTAAAAACAGCTGAAACCCCGAGCCTTGCCTCCAGTTTCCTGAGCTAATACTTTTTCCTAATTGACAAAGGAAGCCAGAGACAAAGAGATGATGCACAGCACGCAGACCTGCAAATCCGAGAGCACAGAGCTCCCTGCTCGGGATGAAGAGCCCTCTGTGAGTTCAACCTGCCTCCCAGTTGCCATGGTTTCCGTTTCCAGGCAGAAAGTTTTTGAAGTTCACAATTTATCCCAAATTCTCTTCCCAGCAGGTTCGCTCATATCTGCAATTGCGGTAACGTGGATGAGTTCCCTGTTGCTCTCACTCAGCAAGTTGAGCTTACTCATGAATCGCACGGGCCATGACAAAACCTGACCTCATTTTTGCCCAGCATGCCCTGCACAGATGTGATGTCTTTAATGGAGGGTGTGGGGACACAGCTCGGTGGCCTGGGTTATCTGGGTGGGCAGTCTGGACAAAGCTGGGGTCAGGATGAAACGCCCCATGGTGTCCCAGCCCCTTCCATCCAGCCCCTCTGACCCCAGCACCACCCTTTCCAAAGAGGCAGAAGTCCAGACAGAACCTTTGTTTACTGAAAATGACTGGAGAAATGGAAGCAATTTCTCAATCCCTACCATGGTCCGACTGCTCCAAATCCAATCAACCTGCCAATAAATATTTATTAAGAATTTACTATGTTCCCAAGTGGATGGCGGAGCAACAGCTTTTAAGGCTCTTCCCTGACTTCAGGGACCTTATTATCTGGCTGAGCAAACACAACTACATGGTGGGGAGGGGGCGGTGCAAGGAAACCATTGTCTGTCCCCGGAACAGATGTCTAGGGATAAGGTTGATTGGAGAGGACTGGCGGTATGAAAAAAAGAGTAAGGAGGGTTTAGCAGCCACGATGGGGGGCAGTGAGGTATACATGCAGGACAGGGAGTGTATTTCCAGAGGAAGAAACAGCTGGGAAAAGCCTGCTCTAGTTTGGGGGCACAGCAAAGGTGGAGAAGGGTTGAGGAATTTCTTTAACACTGGCAGAGATGCTTAGGCCTGTGGAATATACAACTGGGTGCTGCTTCTGGGGTCAGGAGCATAAAAACAGCAGAAGCAATGTATGTTCTACGGGAGGCAGCTGGACGGGAAGGCAGTAACCACCTCCGGCAGGAGCGAACCCTGGGAAGTTCCCTCCTGGGTCATGAGGAAAACTTTGAGTGCCCTCCCCTCCTAGGCAGGAGAAGGCTACCAGTTCAGCCTGAGCACAGGGAAGGACTGTTATTCTCTGATTCCCTTGTAGGACACAGGGTGTAGCTCGCTTTGCTACAATGTTCGTCTTTTCTGGTTTCTTCTCCTCTTCTCTCTCTCCTACTCTGGCTTAAAGGATGCTGTCTAGACTCCTCTATGACAGCTAAGGCTCTACCCACCTGGTCTCATGTCCTCCAGACCCTAAAGCCAGCCAAGCTCAGTCATGGCAGGTCACCAGGAGCAGGCATGTTCTGTGTTCTCCCTCACACCTACCAACCCTCGAGCATCAGATTCTCTTGGCCTGAAGGCCTCTCTCCTCTCACCACTACTCATTTAAAAAAAAAAAAAAAAAACTTTTCAGATACCATTTTCTTTATACATATATAGTTTACACAAAATAAAATGCACTAATCTTAAGTGTATAATTTGATGAGGTTTTTAATTATTTTTAATTCCAAGAAAGAGAGACAAAGACAGAAAGGGAGAGAGAGATACAGCACCCCCAGAGAGGTACCTGTGTGACAGTCCAGTCCAATCAGTCAGTTCAGACCATGGACACACCCGAGCCCAGTGTCCTCAGGGAGTTCTCTGGATGTGAACCCGTTACCTTTCCACATGGGTCTGCCTTGCAGAAGGTCACATTCCATCGCTGTGCCACTGTCTGGCTCCTAGCTCAGTTAAGCCTTCAGAAATGTGTACACGCATGTACACAATAGCCTACCAAGCTGCAGAATACTTCCACCACTCCAGAAATACCCCCATCCCCTTCCCAGCCAGTCTGCGTGTTAGAATCATAGACTGGTGTCAATTCTTCTAGACCTTTCTACCTACTTTTGAGACCAGGCTCGGGGGCTTTCCCTTCCTTCATATCTTCCCTAATCTTCCCACACCCCACCCCTCCTCTAAGCAGTTGGCCGGGTCCTGGTACATGTTCCAGAAAACCTGGCTTACATTGCAACCCAAAAAATCACAGTAGACATTTATTGAGCATGTTCTATGTGCCAAGCTGTTCTGTGTGCTCGGATCTGCATTATCTCATTCAAGCCACACCAAACACCCATAAGATGGTTCATCCGTTTTCTTCATTTTCCACGTGAGGTAACTGGACCAAGATCGGTTAGGTGACCTGCCTACTGTCACAAAGCTGGTAAGCGGCT